CCCTCAAAATAGAGACCAAGGTCCTTCAGCCGGCTAGCTTGGGGTCAACTCTCACTCCCCATCACCCTCCTGCTCTGCCCAGCAAACTGCCTGCAGAAGTGAACCATGTAAACTCAGGGCCCAGCACCCCAACAGACCGAACAGTCTCCCATTTGGCAGTCACAAAGCCAGACGCACATCCTCCTCGACCAAGTGGGCCTGCTCCATCCTCGTTCCCGAGGGCTTGTCACCCTAGCAGTACTGCATCCACAGCTCTCTCCACCAACGCCACAGTCATGCTGGCGGCAGGCATTCCTGTGCCGCAGTTCATCTCTAGCATACACCCTGAGCAGTCTGTCATCATGCCTCCCCACAGCATCACCCAGACTGTGTCCCTCAGCCACTTGTCGCAGGGCGAGGTGAGAATGAACACGCCCACACTGCCCAGCATCACCTACAGCATCCGGCCAGAGACACTCCACTCTCCCCGGGCCCCCCTGCAGCCCCAGCAGATAGAGGTCAGGGCCCCACAGCGGGCAGGCACGCCTCAGCCAGCCCCAGCAAGTGTGCCTGCTCTGGCCTCCCAGCACCCTCCTGAGGAAGAAGTGCACTATCACCTCCCTGTTGCTCGAGCTACGGCCCCTGTACAGTCGGAGGTGCTGGTCATGCAGTCTGAGTACCGGCTGCACCCGTACACCGTGCCGCGGGACGTGAGGATCATGGTGCATCCACACGTGACGGCAGTCAGCGAGCAGCCCAGGGCTGCAGAGGGCGTGGTGAAGGTGCCGCCAGCCAGCAAGGCCCCTCCACAGCCAGGGAAGGAAGCTGCCAAGACGACCGATGCCAAAGCAGCACCTGCCCCCCATAGTGAAGCCCGGATCCTCACAGTCACCCCCAGCAACCAGCTGCAGGGGCTGCCGCTGACCCCTCCTGTGGTGGTGACCCACGGGGTGCAGATTGTGCACTCAAGTGGGGAGTTGTTCCAAGAGTACAGGTACGGTGACATCCGGGCCTACCACGCACCCGCTCAGCTCGCTCACGCTCAGTTTCCTGCTGCCTCCACGATTGGCGCACCTTCCCGGACCAAGACCCCTGCTCAGGTGAGGAAGTCAAGTCTCCTGCCTCATCAGTTAGACATGTACATGAGGGCTCAGAGGGCTTGAAGCAACCATGTATTAAGAATCAGCCTTTCAGTCAAGAGGGTGGTTGGGGGTATAAGTGAGCTGGTCAGATACTCCCTGAAACATTTTGACCTTTTTGTGGGACTCAAGCAAGACACAGGAACTTGCTGAATTTCAGATCAGATCCTACCACAGAGTGCTCAGGGCATGGGGAAGGAGCTCTTTGGGAATGGTTGACGTAGGTGGCTTCTGCCTGCAAGCGTGGGAAGGGACGAGGTGACTACTACTTAACCTAAGCGCTCCATCCCGAGGCCCTGAGAGCGTTACCTCTAGGAGACTCCTGCATCTCACAGTGTCTGAGCCTCTCCCTGTGGCCTCTTAGGGCCAGGGTCTTTGTGCAGAACAGATTCTGACTGTCCCTTTGTCTTCCTTCCCGACTCCCAGGGCCCTCCACCTGAAGGAGAGCCCTTGCAGCCTGCTCAGCCTGCCCCATCGTCCACACAGCCGACTCAGCCTGCCCCGTCGACACAGCCTGCCCAGCCTGTTCAGCCCTCCCAGCTCAGCCAGCCCAGCCAACCACTGAGCAGCAAAATGCCTCAGGTCTCCCAGGAAGCGAAGGGGACCCAGACAGGAGTTGTTGAGCAGCCTCGCCTCCCAACTGTACCTACCAACAGGCCACCTGAGCCTCATGCCCAGGTTCAGAGGGCCCAGGTGGAAACAGGCCAGACTTCCCACCCTTCTCCAGTGTCTGTCTCTATGAAACCTGACCTTGCGGCCTCTCTCCCTGCTCAGGCTGCCCCAAAGCAGCCGTTGTTTGCCGCTACAACCTCTGGCCCCAGCACCCCACCAGGACTGGCTCTGCCGCATCCGGAAGCCCAGCCTGCCCCCAAACAAGATTCCTCTCCACACTTGACTTCCCAGAGGCCCGTGGACATGGTTCAACTTCTAAAGGTAAGTGTGGGCAGGGTTCTCCCAAGCCACTGTGTTAGTGTCCTAAGATGCCATGGTTGACTTAGACCAGCAAGGTGCTGCCCAAGGGCCGTGCCCAGCGTGGCTGAGCTCTCTGGCCATGCACTCACTTCCTCTTTGTTTCCTTTGAGCAGAAGTACCCCATCGTGTGGCAGGGCCTACTCGCCCTCAAGAATGACACAGCGGCTGTGCAGCTCCACTTTGTCTCTGGCAACAATGTCCTGGCCCATCGGTCCCTCCCTCTCTCTGAAGGGGGCCCACCCTTAAGGATTGCCCAGAGGATGCGGCTGGAGGCCTCACAACTTGAAGGGGTTGCCCGGAAAATGACGGTAAGATGTAGGCCCCAGAGAGCCACTGCTGAGGGCAGCAGTCGGCAGCACCACTGTTACCCACCTGCCCACAGGAAGGGAAGGCATAGGGAGGGACCCCCCACCAGCCCTGGTGGTCATGGGACATGGTAATGGTGTTCTTGAAGAGGACAGGAAAGGGCACGCTGTCTCTCTTCAGAGATGTAAAAGGTCTTTAGGCCCAGAAACAAGGCTTTTTTCACTCAATTAGGGTGGATTTCCAACTCATAGAGCCCCTATAGGGCAGAGTAGAACTGCCCCATAGGGTTTCCAAGGCTGTAATCTTTATGGAAGCAGCCTGCCACATCTTTCTCCAGTGGAGCAGCTAGTGGGTTTGACCTGCCTACCTCTTGGTCAGCAGCCGAGCGCTTAACCACTGCGCAACCAGGCCTCTAACTCAATGGCAGTGAGTTTGGTTTTTTTTGGAGGGTGGATTTAAAGTCATCTCAGAGGTGGGAGCTTTTGAAGACTTCAGAGCCCAATAACCAGGGTTGGACAGGCCTCCCTGCATGGGTTATGGTCACTGACGGCTGGCCTCTCTGCCCAGGTGGAGACAGATTATTGCCTGCTGCTGGCTCTGCCCTGCGGCCGTGACCAAGAAGATGTGGTGAACCAGACTGAGTCCCTCAAGGCTGCCTTCATCACATACCTGCAGGCTAAGCAGGCGGCAGGGATCATCAACGTTCCTAACCCTGGCTCCAACCAGGTCAGTCGGTGTCCTCCCCCTGCACACAGCAGCACGCACACTTGGGTTGGGAATAATCTGGTTGGGAAACTAACTTCAGCCTGCTCTACCGGGCCTTTTGAAGTATAGAGTAGAGTGGTATTGGGGGAGGGGGTGATGTGAAGACGGAGTATCCCATTGTGTTTCGTCCCTTTCTCCAGCCCGCCTATGTGCTGCAGATCTTCCCACCCTGTGAGTTCTCCGAGAGTCACCTGTCCCGTCTGGCCCCTGATCTCCTTGCCAGCATCTCCAACATTTCTCCTCACCTCATGATTGTCATTGCCTCTGTGTGAGCCACCAAATGGTCACCACCTCGGTGTATTTTCCCGAGGCGCTGCAGCAAAAAATAAACACAGGACAACCCAGCCAAGTGGAGGAAGAAGCTGCCGAAGGAGACAGACTCCACTGCCAGACGGCCAGCCTCCTGCCCTCCTGCCCGCCCGCCCGCCCGGTTTCCGTCAGCCAGACCTTCTTTGGGCAGTGGTGCTGCTACCTTGTATGTTTACATGATGCTTTAGCCCAAGGACAGACCACCAATCGATGTGCTCACAGACACCTTGGGGCTGGGTTTCTCTCTCTTTTTGGAGAAAAGGAACAGGGCAGTGGAATTAATTTTTTTTTGTTTTTAAGAAACAAGAAAATGGAACTGCCTTTGCACTAAATTAGTGATTTGGACTTTTGCACAGTGAAGACAGGCTGTGACACCCTGGATGTCTGGTGTACGTGAACACACATCACAGAGACTCTCACGTGGGACTTGGAACTTCTGCTGAAACCTTGGGGTCGAGGAACTTTTCACTGGGTTTTTTGGTCCCTGCCCCCTCCCTTCCCATGCTCATTTGGATGTGTCACCTTTCTTCATTCTCTGCCGCCGCCATCTTTTTGACTCACCTGGATGTACAGTTTACACTTGAAAAGAGGAAACAGAAGGATAGCTGATTTTCTTTCTTGGTGGGATATGCAGAACTTGGGATGTGTGTATATATAAATATATAATATATATAAATATATATAATACTGACTTAAATCAGATTTCCCCGACATACATTTTTTTTAATCTGTGCCAAAAATGTGTTTTCAGAGAAAAATCTTATTTTCATACTCAGACTTTGTATTGTCACTCATTTGTACAAGTGCGCTTCGTTACAGCACAGGCGTGCCCTGCGATGTGGAAGTGTCACACAGCACCTGTAAAAAGACTGGCTGATCTCCTCCTTGACCCGGACCTCCCCCAACTTCCTAACACTTATTAATTTATGAAACTGTTTTTCTCAGCGCAGTTTTGTTTTGTGTGTCCATTGGATTACAAACTTTATTAAAAAATACAAAACATGTCAAGTGTGAATGTGATTGTGTCACTTGGGTGGGAGGACCAAGGGTCCTTGGCCTTTGGGAACTGCTAGTGTTTACCCCGCTTGTCTTGAGAGATTCTCCTGCATGTCTGTACTTCCTTTCTGCCATTTAAGCAGTCCTCCCCAAGGATCGTTTGATCTTGCACAAAGAAATTTTTTATCACAGATACTGAACTTTAACTATTATTTTTCAACATTGTGGTGTAAATGATTTGTGAAACTTCAAGGTCCTGACTGGCTCTCAGGTAATGTTGAAGGCACTTCAGATTTGATACAGAATAAAACCACCCCTACATAAACTCAACACTATCTTAGGTGAGCTTGGTTTCGTCTCTTGCCCCTTCCCTTCTCCCAGAACAGTGGGTGGAGCCTGACCTGCCCGTGCTCCTTGGGGTGCAGGTAATCCTGTACCTGCCTCTGGACAGGAGGTGGGAGTGGGTAGGAAAGGCTTTCCTCTGCTAGAGCCACTACAAGCTGGGGAGGTGGGAGGGCAGGGAAAGGGGGGCTACTCACAGTATCAAATGGGGCTCCTACAAATAGACACATATCTGGTGCAAGAAGATGGTATCTCTGAGTGAGGTGTTACAGCTGCTGGGGGCAAGCTGTAGGAAAACGGGGCAGAGATGGAGCTTCCTGCTGACAGCAGAAATGAGCCCTCGAAGGAGCTGCTCCACTGGCCCCTGCTGGCTGATCCTAGTAACAGCGCTGTGGTCCTTGCCTCCCCTCAGAGCTCCTAGCTGCTCATGGCTGGCTCTCTGGGGGCCACAGCCTAGCTGTAGAGACTCCGTTGATTCAGGGCAAGTAAATAATACTCCCAAAAGCTGGCACTGGCTTGGCCTTCATCCTTAGGCCAGGTTGCTGGTGCAGTGAGTGCAGAGAAGTCCTCCTGGCTCCCCAAGCCCAGAGGACTGAGCAGGGGACGGCTGGGCCTTGCTCTCCTCTGTCTGCCTTGCTGCTCTGGCTGAACAGGCCCTGTGCTGAGCCTGGCAAAAGTGGCCTTGGGCTGGGCTCTCCCCGGGTTGCCTGGGGTCTGGCAAGGCTCTGCCGGCCCCTTCCCCTAGCTTTCCAGCCCCCTGGGCCTAGCGGGGGCAGGGTCAAAGCTGTGCTCCATGGGGGCGAGGGGAGGTTGGGTCCTAAAGCTGAACAGGTGAGACACCTCCACAGAGGAGCCTGTGTGGGGTGTGGGGCATGTGGTGCCTTGGTCTCTCCGGCCCCTAACGTGCTGCCCATACCCAAACTCAGCAAAGCAGCGAACTTGGTTCTAGACAGGTCTGCAGGAGGAACAGACTGGCTCTCCCAAGAAGCAGGTCTGCTGGCTGGGTAGCTCTTCCATGGCATCAGCCATAGCTGCCAGCTCTCTAGCTCCCCCCATCCCCACAGGGAGCTCTAGGCAGCATTAGAAAATAATCAAATTTATTCTCTAGGGAGCAGGGCCACCCCTCTCAGTTCTAGGGTGCCATCCGTCTTTAAATAAACAGTCAGGAGGAGGGGCACCTGCTCACTCGGCCGGCGGACATTCGGAGGCTGTGGGTGGGGTCTCTGCCAGAGCAGGCGGGCCCTCAGCCCCATCCCGAGGGCGGAACAGCAGCTCCCCAGCCTGTAGCACCTGCCCGGCCGGCCACGTGCCGCCTGGTCCATACTGCTGGTAGAAGTCCGTGTCCGCCTGGAACATGACCAGGGCCTGGGCTGTGTGGATCCGCACGTGCTGGGCCAGGCTGTTAGCATCCAGGAACTTCTCCCCACAGGAGTCACAGGCGTAGAGAATCTGGGTGTTGGGGTCTGTAGGAGGTAGGGCCTCGTCAGCAAGGAAAGGGCCCTTGGGGTCCGCCAGCTTTCACACCCCAGGCAGCCCCTCTCACCTGCTTCCTGTACTTGCTTTACAGCTTTGGTGATCTCGGCTTTAAGTGCTTCTGTCTCATCAGCTGTCACTGCAGCCCCCACTGGTACCACTGTGAGCAGAATTGGCAGGGCTTAAGGCCAAAGGTACCTGGCCATCTTTGCCACCCCAGAGGCAAGTGGCCTGTGACCACCCTCTGCTGCCCACAGCCCGCACCTGTGAGCTGAGTGACGGCTGTTGCTGCCAGTGCCTCAGTGGCCAGCGTGACCATGTCATCAACTGTGACCACGCTGACCTCTCCACCCTCCTCTGGCTCCAGGATTTTGATGCCTGCCTTGCCCTGATGCACGGTCTTCACGTGGGAACGCAGGTTGTCCACCCGGTTGAAGCCACGACCACACTTGTCACAAAGGTAAGGCTTCTCTCCTGGGGAAGAAGGCAAGGTTATCTCTTGCCTTTTGAGGTCGGGTAGCTTAGCTGGGGATGGAGGTGGGAGGACCTCAGTGGGCCTCAGCTTCCCCAGCTGCCCTGTCTTTTCCAGCAGGAAGTGCTCAGAGGCAGCCACCAGAGCTGCTCAGAGCCTCCAGTGGTACCTGCACCTTCTGGAAGCGCCAAGAAAATGGGGTGGGGTCCTCGTTAGAACTGAACTGCCTTCAGGGCCACCTGCAGCAAGTGCTAGCACCCAAGGCTGGGATTTGAGGTAACTCCTCTCCCCTCACAGCAGGGGCACCGGCTCACCAGTGTGGATGATGATGTGCTTGGACAGGTCCCCCACGTTGACGAAGGCCTTGCTGCACACGCTGCACTTGTGGGGGCGGATATTGTCGTGGTGGCGAATGTGATTGGCCAGCTGGCTGGACTGGACGAATCTGTAGGGTCACAAAGGGAGGAGCTTGCATTAAAACTGCCCACGCCTGGGACAGGAGGAGCTGACCCAGAGCCTCCTGCCTCATCATCTAGGTTGAAGAAGACCCCCCAGATGTAAGCTTGGGACTTGGGCAGCAGTGTACTGGTTCCCCCACCAAGCCCTCAGTTTATTTCCGACCCCCTTGGAGGTATAGAGCCTGGGAGCCACAGCCCCGGGCATGGGGTGGGGGGCAGGACCTCTTGCCGCAGCGCTCACAGACGTAGGGCTTCTCGCCAGTGTGCTGGCGCACGTGGGCGATGAGGGAGCTGGCCTGGGTGAAGGCCTTGCCACACATCACACATTGGCACGGCTTCTCGCCTGGGGACAGGGGCAGGAAAAGGTGTTGGCGCCTACTTCTCCTCCCCTGCGTCCTCAACCCCTGGCCACCACCAGGCTCGCTCACCCACCCGTGTGGATCCGGACGTGCCGCTGCAGCGCGCCAGGGTCCGCAAACTGCCGCTGGCAGTGGATGCACACGTAGGGCTTCTCCCCGCTGTGGATCCGAAGGTGCCGCTTGAGGTTTCCTGTGTGAGACCAAGGGAGGCCCAGCATGGCGCACCCCGAGGGCCGAGGGAGGGGTGCGGGCAGCCAGGCAGCCCCGGCCCTACCTGAGGTGGTGAACTGCTTCCCACACTCTCGGCACTTGAGGGGCCCGTCCGCGATGTGGATCTTCAGGTGGGCCTTCAGATTCCCCACCTGTACCCAGGCAGGGGGTCAGCAGGGCTACCCCACAGAGCGTGGCCTCAGGCCCCTCCTCAGTCCCTCCCACCAGGGAACAAGTGATTTGCAGTCCTCCCAGGGGGCTGTGGATGGCTGTCTCTTCTTGAGGCTGGTAGACTGTTCCAGGTCCCAGCAATGAAAGTAAAACCACCCTCCCCACAGTTCTTTCAGGCCCAAGTCCCACCCTGACTCAACCTGCCCTCCCAGTTTCCTCAGCAGAGCTCCATTCACCTTCTCCTCAGCCAGCACCACCTCCCTTTCTCACACGTTTGTGTAGCTGCTTCCTGCTAGCTGTTTCTCCTAGAGCATCACTGCCCCTTAGACTGAGTTCCTCAAAGACCAGGGCTGCCTCCACCCGTCTCAGTGTGCAGTCAGGACTCTGGACCCCCAAGGGTGGACGAGGCCCCCCAGCCTCCACCTGCGTGTGCCAGTTCTCAAGCGCGTGTGGAGTGGGCCCACAGACCTGGTTGAACTTCTTGTCGCAATGCGGACACTTGTGCTCCTTGTCAGTGTCATGGGTCTCCAGGTGGCGCATCTTGGAGGTGGGGTCAGAGAAGGAGCGGCCGCAGTAGTCGCACTGGTAGGGCTTCTCGCCGCTGTGCACCAGCTGGTGCCGCTTGAGGTTGCCAGAGGTGGTAAAGAGCTTGCCACAGTCCTCGCAGCGGTAGCGTGCCTCGCCCGAGTGCCGCTTCTTATGCAGGTTCAGCAGGCTGATGAGCCGGTAGCTCTTGCCGCACTCCTCACAACCGTACGGTTTCAGTGGGCTGCGTGGGCAGAGGGCAGCAGGGCAAAAGGGAGTCACTGGGTCTGGAAAGGGCCGGGGAAGTGAGGGCGGAGGCGGGCTGGCCCGCCTGCAAGGCCCCTGTACCTGTGTGTCTTCTCGTGGGCCTTGCAGGCAGCCGGGTCAGAGAAAGCCTTGCTGCACTCCCGGCACGAGAAGGGCTTCTCGCCTGTGTGGATGCGGATGTGCCGCTTGAAGTTCCCCGTGTGCGTAAACTCCTTCCCACAGTCCTGCAGGGTGCAGCAGGGAAGGGGCGTGAGGGGGCTGCTGGCGGGTGGTGGGGACAGGAAAGAGTGCGAGCTGGGCAGGGAGGGCCGGGAGCCCGAGGTCCTCGCACCTCACACTTGTGGATGACAGAGCCATAGGCCTTGGACTCAGTGCGGTCACCACAGGTGCCAGAGCGCAGGCTCCGGGCCTCCATGCTGAGCTCCTGACCCGAGTCTGTGCCCGCCGACTCCTCATTGTCCTCGCCGTTCTCCAGCTGGGATCCCTCCTCCTTGACTGAAGCTGGCCCAGCGCTGTCCACCTCTTGCTCATCTTCCCCTTTCCTCGCTGGCTCCACCTCCATCTCTGCAAAGAGAAGCGCAGGCTCTGAGGAGCCGGGGGCGACAAGGGCCTACAGAGGGATGTGACCTCAGACCCAGACCAACGCCAGGAGCCTGAGCTGCCAGCGCCCAGCTATCATGGGGCTTGTCTCTGCACCCACGCCCTGCTCTGTGTAAGCACGGAGCAGGGGCTCCAGACAAGTCTCCGAGTGACAAATACATGGTCCCCAGCACTTGCCAGGGAAGCTCTAGGAGAGTCAGGTGGCTGGATATTTGCTACCAGGGGCCTCGGTCCACCAGGTGGGCACCCAGGCTGGCAGCAGGGCACTGCCAGTCAACAAGCCTTTGCGGGGGTGTGTGGGCCAGCAAGGCATCCGCTGCAGGTGCTCAGCAGAAGCTCTAGCCCTGTGTCAGCAATGCTTCTGGGCTAATGGGGACCAGGGTCAGGCTGTACAACCAACAGCTGATCTCAAAATTCTAGAATGAGGAAAGAAGATGTCTGGTCTGTCCAAAAGTTGACATGACAGTGGCTCAGTGAGGGATCGGCTGGAAGGAGGAGAGGAGGGAAAGCCAAGTGGGGAGTAGAAGGGGGTCCAGGGATGCGTGGGTGGGCCTGGCTGGCCTGGAGGGTACCTTGCTCCGAGCTCTCCGACAAGGTGGCCTCAGCCTCGGCAGCAGCCATGCCGCTGGTGGGGTCTGGCTTGAGCTCCACAGGCGGTGGCTCCCGGGGGGCATCAGCCTTCTCCGTCTGCTCTGCCCCTGGGGTGAGAGGGGGCAGAGGTGGGATTGGGACCCTCTGTGGCCCAGAATGGGGACCACAACTCAGGCAGGTGTGTCTCTGGCTCTGGCTGGGACAGATGCCCCAGAAGCAACAATGAGTCCTCCCAGGTAACCTGGGCTCAGGAAGTGCAGTCACCCGTGTGACCCTACCTCCCGGCCACCGAGACCCTCCTGAGGAGGCCCCTCACTACACTGGGGCCCCAGGCTGCTGGGAGGTGCAGGGCAGCCAGCAGGCCCTCAGGAGCGCAACTCACCGCTGGCTGCGCTCTCAGCCTGGCCGCCTCGCTCCTCCTTGGGCTCCCTGCCTGGGCCTGCCAATGGACTGCTTCCCGCTTGGTCCAGCCTGCTCAGCGTGGTGGCAGCAGCCTTCTCCTCCTTGGCTCTCTTGTCCCCTCCTGGAGACGGAACACGACAGACCTGCCACTTCCCATCAAGTGCCCATCAGAAATTGCTAACTCTTCCAGGCCCTCCCTGAGGAGACATCTAAGTAGTAGCTGATTGGTTTGTTCATTCAAGAGGTTATTCACAGGGCATCTGCTCCATGCCAGGCCCTCTCTGGGCACTGGGACTACAACAGTGAGTTCGTGGGGCTCGCAGTCTGACCAGGGGGACAGGTCTCACACGTGAAACAATGACATTGACCAGGGCTGGTGCTCGGAAGGAAGCACATACTTCTCCAAGGACTTTGACCCACACCCGGTGTCGAGGGCCTATCTGAGGAGATGAGGAGAGTGGGAGGAAGGGTGCGGGGAGAAGCAAGCTCCAGGAGGCGCGAACACCACGTGTGAGGGGTGACTCCCTGGCCTCTTGGGCAGCGGAGCACAGAGGAAGCTGGCGAAAGGCAGAAGGGGCAGGCAGAGGGGCCCCTGCGAGAGGCCTTTCCCAGGCTTTACTGTGGCCAGTCCTCGCCAGCCCCCTACGATGGAGGCAGGGCCAGATGGGGAAACTGAGACTCTGAGAGATGACACAGAGAGTCAGAGGCAGAGCCCCACCAAAAACTGAGGTTTCAGCCACCTGCTCAGGAATAGCCAGCCTGCCAATAGTCTTACCTTCCATGGCTGTAGCCTCCATGTTTTCCCTTGGGCTGGCAGCGGGCTCGGCAACTGATTTGAGGGCATGGCAGGCCGTGATGATGTCCTGCATCTGGAGGAAGCTGGCCACAGCCAGCACATCGTCCACGTTCTCAGGGCTCAGGCTCAGCTTGGCCGTGTACATGAACTCCAGCACCTGGCCCAGGCCTGCCAACGACACAGCCAGCCATCACAGACCCACCTCAGGGCCTGGCACCAGCAGCCTACCCGGCTGGCTGGCCACCTGCCTCCCCACTCCTGTGAGGGGGGCTCTCAGCTCAGTGACAGGCTGAGAAAGTAAGGACACTCCCAGAGGACAGAAGTGTGTGTGCCACCCTCACCCCCTGCACCCAGCCACTGCATGTCACAACCGAGGACATTCTACCCCAAGTGTCAGTCCTGGCTTTTCATCAGGGCTCGGCCACCAACTCTATCTTATCTCCAGGCAAGTCATCTGACCTCTTTGGGCCTCAGTTTCTGCATCTATAAAATGGGGCTATATCACGTTGCCGTAACCTCCTTAGAGCATGTCACGCCATTCTGGGTTGGGCACCTGAATCCAGGACCAGTTTCTTCCTCATTCCCAAGGCCTACCTGACACCACCGCCACCACAGACACTCACACCTGTACTGGTCAACCCCACCATCACCCCACATACTCCCTTTAGCACTGGGGTAGGGGCTCAGAGCTGACTCAGCCATGGGAAGGCGCTGGGCGCTCAGGGCCTAGTGGTCTCTCCCTCCCGACAGAGCTTGTGCTATGTCCACTCCATTCTGGAGAGCCCCTCCTCTGCCAGCTCTCCCCTTACCACCCCCACCCCCAGTCAAAACAGGCTCCAAAAAGGCGGTGGCAATTTGGTACCCCACGCTCTTGGCCTGAGGCCTGTGTGAGAAGCCTGGCCCATCCCACAGCTTGACACAGGGGCTGTGTCAGGAGGGTCTTGCATGGCCCCAGGACCCAGCCACAGCCTCCAGCCTTGGCAAGAAGGCCCTGGGCCCACCCGGGGTACCTGCCGCGTTACTGATGTCCAGGTGCACCACATCCTTCTGGTCCACAAAGAGCATCTTGAAGTACTCGCTGCAGGCGGCCAGCACCGCTTTATGGGCCTTAAAGTCAACCCCGTCCACCACGAAGGTGCAGTCGCACAAGAGCCCCAGCTGCCGCTGCTGGTTCAGCTGCTCCAGGACATGCTGGCTGTGCTGGGGGAAATCCATGGCTGGGGAAACCAGAGGGCTTCATATTAGCATGGAGGAGGCATGCTAGCTGGTCTCAACAATCAACCCCGGACTTCTCAGATAAAGCAATGTAGAGGAGACCAGGAGGATTAAAACAAGAGAGAGGAATTTCTGCCACAGAAGGACAGAGAAGTCCAGATGCTGCAAGCACAGACCCACCAGCAGCTCCTATGTCCTTGGGCTTCACCTGGCAGGAAAATTCCCAAAAAGTTATGAGAGGCCAACACAAAACAGCCACCTTTCTATCTTGCGAGGTAATGACATTGAAAAGTAAAAAAAAAAAAAACCCAGAAAACACCTGGTCAGTTTAACATTAAAAAAACAAAACGAAACAAAATATATATATATATATATAGTATGTAGGACATAATCTTAAAGGACAGCACTTAAGAGCTTGCAAGTGGGCATCCAATGCACAATTGGTCTCTATTCACCTGAAGCAACAAAGGAGAGTCAGGAATAGGAGGATATGGAATGTGTGGCTCATTGCCTCCATGAACTGCCTCCTTTGCCATGATACCAGAAGAACTGGATGGTGCCCAGTTACCACTACTGAACATTTTGAGCAAAGATTCCATAGAAGAAACCCGATCAAAAGGAGGAATATGCAGAACAGAATTTCAAATTCTCATGGACTCTACACTTTCTGGAGCCATGGAGGGTAGATAAACCCCTGAAACTATTGCCCTGCGATAATCTTTAAACTTTAAACCAAAAATATCCCCCGAAGTCATCTTAAAACTGAATAATAGTTCGGCTTAACTAGTAAAAAAGATCTGCCTTGAGCATTATGCTCTTTTAAGAACTATCCATATGGGATCAAATTGACAATAGCAACTCAAAGATCAGACAGGAACCTATCTGATTCTTACCTAGGGCAGTAAGTTTATGTTAATGAGGAAGGAACAACTCAGATAAGCAGGGTGAGAATGGTTGCACAACTCAAAGAATGTAATCAATGTCGCTAAATTGTACAGGTAGAAACTGTTGAATTAGTGTGTTTTGCTGTGTATATTCTCAACAATGACAAAATAAACAAAATTTAGGAAAAAAAGGACAGCTTTTTCAACTGGACCCATTTGGCTTGTGAAAAACCTTCTATTTTGTTATGTTCCTCATTTTGTGGTGGACAGGTGAAATATGTGTTTAGGAAGATACAATAAGGCAGATTTTTTAATCACCCAAAGTTTTAGGACTCAGCTGAGGATGAGAGACACACTGGCCCCTCTCCTGCTGCATCTACAGAGGTTTGTGTGGCCTCGTCCTCCTGGCAAACCTGTCTCTCTCTGACTTATGGACTCAGGGAACCACATAAAGTTGGGGAGTCTTCTGCCTCCAGAAGCCTCTGTCCTGATGACAGTCCCTGGAGAAACACTGAACTCTGGCTCTGACCCTGAGAGTTGCTCGCCCAGCCACAGTTTCTCAGTCCAAGGCTCCACGTAATGCCTGCAAATCTCACAACTGTCTCGAGCGAAAATGCTCAGAAAGATTCCATCGTGCCCAGTCATCACAACCTCCACCAGCCATGACTAAATAAGTACCCAACACGGTGCTCCGCTCCCCCAACACCACCCCAGTGTCAGCCCCAAGATCAGTTCTCTTCTAGGGGAAATAAGCAAGCCCTCCTTTCTAGAAAGAACCAATTTTGGAATGTTTCAGAATAAAAATCAGCCCCCACTCTCTGGGGCCACATTACTGGATCTGACAAGGCAAGGCTGACCAGGCCTGGCCCAGACTGGTAAAAGGCAGTGGTTTCTCTTCCAGGGACTCTGGAACCCCATCAGCCTCTTCTCTGAGGCCGGGTCTGCTCGGAGCTCCCTCAGGCTGTTCTAGATAGATAAGGACACTTGGGGGCTTCCAGTCCCCAGGCTGAGCGGCTCCTGCAGGCTCTGGCCCTTTCCCCATGTTACATCAGCCTCAGAGGGATGAGTCACCCTGCGGCGCATGGTGACCATGTATGGGTGTCTGGCTGGGACAAGCCACAGTGAAGGCCACGCCCCTCTGTGCATGTGGCTTAGCCAGCTCAGATCAGCTTTTACAGATGCGAAGTCCACTTACTCAAAAGTGGGGTACAGGTATCCCCTGCTTTTACAAAAGTTTGCTTCATACCACTTCGCTTTTACAGAACACCTACATTAGTACCTGTTTTTGCTAACCTAAAGAAATCCTAAAGGATTTTCACTTTTACGAAAAAAGGCGAAAAGCCGAAATAGTGTTTAGTGTTTGTTTTGCAGCAAACCCACTGAAGAGGCAGCTCGCACCCTGAGCATCAAAAACGGCGTCGTCACCTCCTTCCCCAGGAACCACACTCACATCTAAGTATCACAGCTTTGTACTCTGTGAGCATTTGTAAAACTGCACTGTACACACATCACTTCCACTTTATATAGGCTGTGTATTTATCATACCATTCTTGCTTTTACTGTATGTTAGTGTTGTTTTATGTTTTATGTGTTATTTGGTATGATTTGGTTAGTTTTTGGGTTTGGGGATGCTCAAAAAATTTTCCCATATAAGTTAATGGTAATTGTTTCTTCACTTTATGCCATTTCGACTTATGAAAGATTTCATAGGAACACTCTACTTTCAGATAGCAGGGGGAACCTGTATGTATTTGCTGAGCTGGGGGAGGAAACAGGGTAGGCCGGCCTGGATTCCTCAAGTAAGGGGAGCGTGGCAGCGGCTACAGGCCTGTGTTGTGGCATGCCGGCCTCTGAGCTGTGCATTTCTTCTGCTGGAGACCTGGAAACACCCTTCCCTGCCCTTGTGTCCCCAGTACTCTCTTCTGGTTCCAGACGCTGAGGCTCTGCTTCTTGGCTCTATCAGCTATATCTATAAATGCCTGTGGCTAGAGCACTTCAGTGCAAGCAGAGAAGAGCCAGGGGCCAGTCCTGAAGCTGAGGTGAGGCCCCAGATGTAGCTGGGCCCTCGGTGTTTGCGGAACAACAGGGGTCCACCTGGGGGCCAGGGCTGCTACCAACACAGGACACCTCATAAAGGGATCTTTCTCTAGGATCTTCAATCTCCAGAACAAATCAACCCCAGAGCTGTCTTCTCTCTGCAATGGAAAAAGGGACGTGGGCAGAGGTGTGTGCATGGGTGGGGGCAGCCCCTGGGCGCCCCCCACCAGTCACCCTTCACAACCTCAGGAGCCCCAAGAAAGATCTGGCAGGTGCAGAAAGGGAAGGAGCACCGGGTCCCCCACAGCCAGCGCCTCATCCTCCACCCATGAATCAGGGGTCTGGGAGGAGGAGCCAGTGCAGAGCCTGCAAGTCAGGTCCAAACCCCTCCCTCCTGGCAGCGGGCCTGACTCCCTCACCCTCACCAGAAGCCACCTGAAAACTGAGCTAGGGTGCGGTGTTGCCCAGGCTCTACAACAATTCGGGGAGTACTGGCTAAACCCAGGAGAAGCAGACTTGCTCCTAGGCCCTCCAGCTGGAGCACTATCTGCCAGGAGTGTGAAAAGGCCTCAGCCAACAGGGTGGGCAGGGCCTGCCGGCTTAAAGGGCAGATGACTAGCTCCCTTGTCTGGGACTCATGGCTGTACCAAGTCTTCATGCTGCCACCCACCCCAGAGCTTCACCACAAAGCAGCCTCGCCCAGCCCCAGGTGGACAGGGCTTCCTACCTGCCGGGCACAGCTCCGGGGTGGGGGGATGGCGGGGAGCTGGGCACATGGCGGGAAGCGGGGGGCGGTCACTTTCAGCCACCTTGCAGGAAGGCCAGTAAAGGTCCCTGGGACAGGGTGGATGGTGCCCCAGTACCACCACTAGCCCCCCACCCCCCACACACAGGAGAGAATGGGCATGCACCCCCCACTAATGTTTCCCACTCAATGCTAACCGCGCTCTTCTGATGCAAGACAGCGACAGGCTGCCTGGGCCGTGGCTGCCAAGAACTGGGATCCTCCCCAAATGGGGTGCTAACTGGGATCCTACCCAAATGGGGTGCTGGGAGGAGAGAACCAGCGGTATCTACCACTCCCCTGAGGTGGCCTCCAAGGCTGTTTCAACAGAGAAACACACATAAAAGAGCATCTGTTCTGACTGAATCAAAGAAAGAAGAGGAAGAGAGAAAACAGGAGATAGGATACAAGCTACAGAGGAAGAAGCAAAAGATGGGGATGGTAAGGGAAAGAGGGGAGAGGGGCCAAGGAAGAAAAGAAACGGCAGCTCTGATTCCCCAGATAAGCAGGAGCGTGAACACAGGCTCGCAGGCACAGTTTCGTGATTAGTACCCCAGGGAGTGTGCCACCTGCCTGCTAAATGGTGTTACCCACAGACACTGGCCCAGGCTGTGGCCTCAAGCTGCAGCTGTGGCGTTTACAACTGCAATGCCCTCGCCCCAGTTGGGTAGGTGGAGCTCAGAGTCACTGGCTCTTCTTGCACTCTCACCTCCACCAGCTGGCTGCCTGCAAAAAGCTCATACAACTCTCTCTCTCCCCGAGGCGATGTGGCGTGAGCGTGTGGGCACCAGCCGTCACCAGCTAGAACCAGGCAGTGCCCCCCTGCAACCTGTGAGCAATGCTCTCAGATGATCAGAGCATCCCTCCAACTGTCTCCTGTCTCCCCTCTTGTCTACTCCACAGCAAAAGGACCCCAACCAGGCTCTGGGCACGCTTAGAAGGGTACAGGAAAAGAGGTGAGGGTTGGGCCACATAGTGGGTCGCTGGGTACCAGGGGCAAGGAGGTAAAGCAGCCTGCGGGGTGTGTGCAGTAAAGGATGCGCTGTACATAGAGACTTTTAAAAATAATACAATCAATACTTAGTCTGTTATACACTGAAAACTACAAGACACTACTACAAGAAACCAAAAGAGACCTGCATAAGTGGAAAAACATACCTTGCTCATGGATAGGAAGACTCAACATTGTGAAAACGTCAATTCTTCCCAAAGCGATCTACAGATACAATGCAATCCCGATCCAAATTCCAACGGCATTATTTAAGGAGATGGAAAAACAAATCACCAACTTCACATG